CATTCTTCATCATCTACGGGTATAATACAAACTCACAACGTGACCAGTTCCCAGCTGGCTTGATAGCTCAGTTGGTAGAACACTGCACTAGTATCGCAGAGGTCATGGGTTCGAATCTCATTCAAGCATGAATTTATTTTTCAGGCTTGAATTTCACAACTGCTTAAGTTGTGTGTGTAACTGCGATGATCAATGAATCATGTCTTCAGATCTTTCTCCACAGTTCAATTATATGATCTTTCATGTATTCACTAGTCAGTCATACCTATCTTGCCGTCACTGTCATCATCTAGAACTTGCCACGACAGAGCAACTATGGCCAGACTCCAATGTGGACACACATCCTTCATTAGAATTAACCACCTGTTCTGGGTGATCACCCACTTCTCGTTACTCCAGACTTTCAACACGTCAAACGCTTGCTTCAGTTGTCTGCGTTTACGGTAAACTGACGCGCCGATTTCAGTTTAATGTGGGTCTGTTTGGCTGACCAGATACTCCTGTAATATCTTAGCCTGAATAGGATGATTCCTCTTACATATAACAACTTTATTTACATCAGACATTTGACCCAAAAGATTCCAAACTGTTGACGTAGCTCTACAGGGATTAATGTCTCCGGTTTCTTAGTACTTAGTTGAAATTTTGTGTACAGGTAACAGCGAATCAAGGGCACTCTGTAGAGCTACCTATATGTCATCAGTGTAGAATTAATGTGTGAGTTAGAATCTCAGACAGGGCTTGGGTCTTGTTTTCTTGGTGCACCTGTAAACTAGCTGGTGAGTCTGGTAGACTACTTATCAAGTCTAGGAGACACACCATTATTACCATGGCTGAGTGTGCAACCAAGAAAAATACATAATCTTTGTCTGTTGCTATGTCTATGATTGAAGAATTCAGCTTGCATATACAAATGGCATTTCAATCTGTTTTCTCAGGCTAGTGAATACATACACATGCTTCTCAGCTGTGCTTATGAAACGTGCTAGATACATTGCACACTGTACAAAATGTTTATTGTCAATAATTCATCAAGTTTTAACAAGGGAAATCACGACCAGAAACAAACGACACCATGACTGTGATGGTGTTTGAATATCTGATCTTAATTAGCATAGGTTCTACGATTTTATTTCTCTATTTTCCTTAGCTTTAATTTGACTGAGAAGATATATCAAACACTCCAGATGGTGTTTGACCACATTTCCAAACGCCTCAAAATGCGTCAAAAATACTACACTGCGCATCGCATTTTCAACTCTCTTCTCGGTGTTTGGAAATCTGGTCATTAACACAGTCTTTCGTGAAATTGATGTTAAGTAACTATTAGATTATGAGCTCGAGATCGAATAATCTAATTGTTTTAGTAGAATTCTAACCTGAATTAACGCAAATAATGGTTTCCAATAATTTTTCGACGTATTACTGAACTTTACGCTTTAACAAAATCGCAAGTATTGAATTGCCCTTAGTAAGTTTGCAGTTGTTTACGCGCGTGTACCGGTTTTTCAATAATTTCAACTTTTTAAAGTCAAGAATCCGTTTATGTCCTTCTTTTAGTCTTCTCAGGAATTTAAATATCCATTTACATCTAAACTCTCTTCCAAAACTTCGAAAAAACGATAAAAACGTCGCATTTCGTGGACGACCGACAGCTACTGCATTCTAATTAACTATTAGACCCGTAGCCCTTGCGGGCTACGGGTCAATAGCCCGTGAGGCGAAGCCCAATGGGCTATTGACCCGTGGCCCTTGAGGGCGAAGGGTCTAATTGTTTTAGTATCACCCAACTNAGCTTATCCTGCTTTCTGTAGCATATGAATCGACTAGGAGTATTTCTACTTCCTCACTGGATAAGATGCTAGTCCATCACAGGGTTACCTCCAGCATTACGTTCACTGATACCCATTTATACAACTGGGTGGAGAGAGGCACTGTGAGACTTAAGTGTCCTGCCCAAGAACATCAACACAATGCCCCCTGCCAGGGCTTGAACCTGGACTGCTTGATCCGGAGACAGGTGCACTAACCACGAGACCACCACGCCTCCCACAGGATTATTGCTAACCCCACCCAAACAGTTCACTGGCAAACCATAAGTACTCCACGGCAGAAAAAGACAATGTAAGAGTAGTGTTTCAATCAAGAACACATTCACAAATATGAACATAGCATCATTTTTGAGCACTCATACTTGTACCTTTTTCCAAAAAGTTTGGATCCAAGTAATGTGAACAGTGCAATCATGAGTAACAGAAGAACAAGGACATTTGCTATCTCTGGCAGTGTTTTTCTGATGTTACGCACAGCTCTCCTAATCTGAAAGAGAATATCTAGCAATCAACAACATCTGTCACACACCCACAATAGTGTAACTTTTTTCCATAATGGACAGCCAATCAATGACCCATCAACATTCAGCTTCGAAAAGAAAAAATGTTAAATCTTACTTGTCTTCCTTCACTGATATTGACAAGAAAAAGTGGCCGGAAGACTCTTGTCCATCGTGTGGTGTGAACTGGCAGGTGTGCTTCTTTAAAGATGACATACATTATCATGTCAAGAAATGACAGCTGGAAAAACATAAAAAGGAAATATAAACCCTGTTTAAAAACAAGACCAGTAAAATCAGCATGCAGAGGCAGGACAAACTAGGAGAAGGATATAGTAAAGCTCTATGTGACTGTACACTGGTCAAGAAGAAATGATAGTATTACAGTTAAACTTCTGCCAATTATAAACAGACACTATTGTGAAGTTTATATGAAATAATTCATATATGAACTG